TCCTCCCCGCCATGGCCGGGCCGCCGCCCGCACCGGCCCCGCATCCCCTCCCCTTGTCTGCGCTGCCCCCCTCACCCCCTTCCGGTCGGCCCTTCACCAGGCCCCGCTCCCGCACCCCTTGCCTTGTCCTCCCCTTCCTTCTTCGCGGCTCCCCGCACACCGTGTCCATCTTTTTTGTCTCCCTGTTTCTTTAGATCCTACCAAAGGTAGACCTTCCCTCCCTAAACTGCTGGACAGCCCTGGCTGGTCGGTGAGCATCTGCTACCCCTCCGTAGGTCGGGCAGAGCGGAGAGTGGAGTCTCGGAGGTGCTTGCTTGAGGCAAGTGCTCCAGGCAGAGTAGAGTCCGAACCTCCCAGAAGCAGCTTTAGAGTGAGTCAACAGGCTCTTACATCAGCAGACAGCTCGTCTGATCCCTGGCTTGTTGCAAGACGCAGACGGGCTTTTTCAGGAAAGCTCAGCTCCCTTTTAGCTGTCTGAAGGCTGCATGCACAGAGGTGTGCAGGCAGCTGTACGCTCCACCAGAAGGCCAAACTGGCCAGCTTCGGTCCAGAAGCTGTGTAGCTGTCTTAGCACAACACTGTGCCCAGTTCACTAAGCCTTGGCATCACTTTTTTTCCTTGGCACCTAAATGACAGCTGAACTCTTCTAACAGTTTGACCCAGTCTCCTTTTAAAATAGAAGGTGGTAAAGGGTGGAGTTTGTTCAGCATACTGAGCTGCAGCTCTGGGGATCATCCAGGCAGCAGCTGGAGCAATTTCTTTCACACAATATTTTATTGTTTATTTATTATTTATTTCATACAATATTTTAATGTACCCAATTTAAAAGCAAATAAATTGTCTTCACCACAAGATGCAGTCCTCCTCCTGGCCATTTTCATATTTTCATGTTTATTCATGTATTGCATGGCTCAGAAATCCACCAAGGTCCCAGAACAGCATTAAACTTCTAAGGCCTGATGCTGAGATGCACAGAGTATCTGCAAGTCTTGTTCCTGTCCATGGGGATTGGGCTTCGAATCTCCCCAAATTGATACCTTAAACAGCTCAAACTTCTGCAATTATGTTGATGGGAACATTAAAATCTATGTCAAAGGATGCTGCTGCAATCTTGAAAATTCAAGCTGATTGTTTTTTTGTTGGATGTGGTGGGGTTTTTTTAATAGATTATGAAGCAGGCCATATAAGAAACAGGTTTTACAACTTGTTTTAAATATAAGTAAGCTTACTTCCCCTTTCACTCATGTCTTCCTTCAGGCTTTTTTATTGCTTTCTGATAAAATCTGCAAGAATAGGAATTGTTTATATTTTTCCCTTCTTAAAGTTTCAAGTGCAAATGTCAAATCTCCTATTTCTTTTGTATCTTTGAGTACTAAAGACAGATCTTTCTTACTTCAATCCCAATTGACGGTTTTACCTGACCTCAAGATTTTATTTGTGGCATTAACTGGGCACCTTCATAACAGTCTTAGAGACTGTTGAAAAGAGAGGCCAGACTGGGCCTTTGAACTTTGCCAACTGAACTCAGAGCCATGGAGTTTGGAGGAACAAATTCCTGGGACAAATTAGTGGGGCAAAGGGTGAAAAGACATGTTAACTGCTGCCCATTCTGCACAATGTCCTCTGCATGAGACCTTTGTTCTGTCAGTCCTGTATCTATCATTAGTACCATGTTACACACAATAAAAACAAACATACTTGTTGTGCTTTAGTCCTCCTACCTGTAGTTCAGCAAGAGTAAACCAGGTTAGTATTTGGATAGGAGACCTTCCAGGAGAGTTTACTTGCTGTAGGAAATAGTGTTGAAAACTGAGTAATGTTTTTCCAATACTGAATTCAGTCTTGAGTCTTCTGGTTCTGGGAATGATAAGCTGTAGAAATTCCAGCCTTGAATGGAATAAAAGCAAGTTCTTGAGCATTTTTGGTCATGATGGAGCCTTTGGCAGTTTACTGCAGAGTAGGAGAGTATCCTGGCCAAATTCCAACCTGGGTGATTATATTCAGCTGACTGAAAATGAGCAGTGGCGATTGCTGCATTTCACTGTTGGGCGAAGTGATTTCCACACATGGGCTTAAATTTGTAAAGTGACTTAGGGTAAAGCAGAATGAAAAGGACTTACAGAAATGTCCTTTTAACCCTCATAGCTTATTCTTGAAGGCCCTGTGAGGCTGGTAGGTCTGCTGTCTCATTCCTCTAAATGCCAGTGATCCAGCTGCTGGGGCATTGCTTGGAATGGCTGTACCACATCACAGGATGGTCTTCAGAACAGTGGTGCTTTTTATAATGCACATACACATTCCCACACATCAAGCAAGGAAACAAACAGAATGGGAGAAAAAGAAATAATAAAAGAACATTCAAAGTTTTCTTTGTTAGAAATTAAAATACTGTGACAGTGCTGTTCAGGCTGATCCATGGTTGGTGTTTTGTTTTCAAAAAGATTAAGTGATCCTTTGATTCAAAAAGGCAGAGAAGCACTGATGTAGGATATAGAAGGCAACATGGAAGTGTATTTCCTGTTATATATGTACCTCAATGTATAACAATTTTTTTTTCTTTCCCTGCCTTTCCCTACTTTATTTTGTACTCAGATTTTCTTGCTCCTGTCTTGAAATATGCCTTATAACTTTACAAGTTTTCAGAAGACCACTATGTTTTACTGGGATAGGAATATTGCATCTGCTTCATAGCAGGAGGTTGTTATATGTATTACAGCTTAATTCTGTTCTACTTTAAACCTAGATAAAGAATGAAGACTGTCTGTACCATTTTGATTACCTCTTCTAGGGTTCAAAGAGAGAATCATTTCCCCTGACCTTCATTTGCTAATGGCTCAGCTTGATCTAACTGGTATACAGATAAACTTGCTGTTAAACAAAAAATTCCAGTAGGAAGAACCACCTCAATGTCCAAAATTCCTTTGCCCCTGCTGGTATCGTTGGCTCTCTGTAACCATCTAAAAGCTGAACTACGCAAAGTCACAAGAGCTGTTCACGAGAAGTTTGTGCAATTGGACAATGCTGCCATCCTCTTGAGAGATGAGACGAAGGACCGTTCACAATGACAGCTCTGCAAGTTCCAAATATGAGAGTCATGCATATGGAGTTTCATGCTTTGTCTCCAGAGTGATCTTCGTTCTTGTTAAGCTAATTTCACCTCCTGTCACAAGTCTTGATTTTGGGATTTAGACCATCATTAGCCACGGAACTCCTTTGTAAATCACTTTTTTTTTTCTCTATTTTACACAAAGACTGTTAATACGACTGTTACTAGAATAAGCAAAGCCAATATTCATAGGGTTTAGCTGTGTACCAGTAGCACCTTTTGCCCCAGAATGCCTTATGAACGCCATGCAGCACGCATGTCCCAGTGTACAACTTGTCATGAAATTTCTGTTCATTTAGGCACCACCTTAGTTTACCAAGCTGACTTTTAGGGACATTTCAGCACATAACATCTCATACAGTAACTCAGACACCACCCAGAGGTGCCTTTCAGGTCTGAGAGCTTTCTCCGTGAATGTATTCAGAGCTAAAGAGACCATGCGTGCATCCTGCGGGTCAATGCCATCCACCTAATGGGAGCATCCTGAAGTGACTGAGGGAATGGCAGAAGGAGGGCACGCTGGCGCTCCTCCTGTCCGACTGTGGGTGCGACGCGTAGGCGTTTACTGCGATGAGCACCGCAAAACGTGGCTTGTGGCTGCAGAAGAGGCAAGTGTCCTTTGAGCTTCCCAGTGATTGTAGCTTTGCTATTGCAGGTGCCTCTACTGCATTGCCAGTAACTGCCTGCTCTCTTTGTTACTTTCCCCCAGGAGGAAGGTATGCTGAGGGCTCGGATCCAAAGAGTTCAGGTTCCCCTGGGTGAGGCGCTGCGACCCAGCCAGCTCCCCCCATCCCGGCTGCCTCATATGTGGCAGCTGTCCCAGGGTGAGCAGTACAGGGATAGTAACTCTCGCGTTTGGGAGATAGAGCACCATCTCATGGTAAGGATGGTGGCAACAACAGACCATAGTCATGCCTGTTTGTGAAGTCATTTGAGATCCTTGAGGGACGGCAAAGGACTGTTATTTTGTTGAAGTCCATTAGCTCAGCCACAGTAACTGTAGACGTATTGAACTTTTCCTTGTCACTTACAGCTTGGTGGTGTTGAAGAACTGCTGCTTAAACTCGTGCCTGGTGATTAATCTGGTATGTGTAGACATTACCCCTGCTTTATACTGTGCTCTGTTTATTCCCAGTCATTCTTTAATATGAATTTTTGTCTTTCAGGAGCGGTGGCTCTAGGAAGATGTCGTTGCATATTTTGTACAATAAATGATTCTCTCTCCACTGAAATGCAGCCACCTCTGAGGTGGAAGCAGTTAAACAACACACAGCAACATTACACAAGAGTTTAGCACAGGCAGTGAAGAATTGTGTCCAAGTGAAACATCAGGGGGAGTTCTAGGTAGGCAGAATGTAGTTGCCCCAAGTGGAGCTTGGCCAGGATGCTGAAAGTAATGCCCTAGCATTATTTAAAAGTGCTGTGTGCTGGCGAATTATAAGAAGTTTGAAAGGCAGCACCGCCCTAGCTCTGCACAGGGACAGGAGCTGAACTGTGGCTCAGATGGAGGTGAAGTCCCACCACCACTTTCTGTCACAGTGGTGCTTTCCTCTAGAGGTCTCCCATCCAACTACTATTACTGCCAGTTTTTGCTCATCTTTTGATCTCACAGAAGATCACAGTTACAGGTGTCACAGCTGCAGAAGGTCAAATTGAGTGTCTGAAATCCTGCTTTCTAGGGATTTGAACAAGATGGAGCTGCCTTCCAGTGTGTTTGGGTGGGAGTGGGATTTCTAAGAGACTTTCTCCTGGAACAAGGAAAAAAGCCCTCCTTGTTGTCTTTATGGGACATATACAACTAAGTTGTTTCCTTGGGTTGTTTTTTTAAATGCCTCCTCCATATACAGTTCTATGACTAACACCAAATCCTTGGTTGAGTAGAGCTCACAGAGAGGGCGTTTACACAAATACATCTTTTAGTATAAGGTCTAGAGGCATAGAACTGTTAAAAGTTAGTCAGCCATGTTAATTTGAATCTTTGCTGAAATCTTTGTGCAACCAAGTGGAAAAGGACTCATTTTGACCAGACAAAAGAAAAAGGCCTTCAAGCCTAGCAAACTTCCCATATTCATTGTCCACATTATCATCCTTCAGCCAGACACAGAGAATTTTTGTGTGTTGGCAGGCATCTGCAAGCAGCAATAGATGTTTTCTGAACTGTCTGGGACAGAGAGGGAAACTGGGAACTCTTTAAAGCCTTGGCTTTAAGACAGTGTCTTGCCTCCTTGCCCCCTGAAAAGCACTTTGTTTCTACAGTAACATTTTCCTATCATTTTAGTTCTCTGAACATGTCCCAGAAGGATCCCTGCCAGAAACAAGCCTGTGAAATACAGAAATGCTTGCAAGGTACCAAGTGTCATTTTGTCTTTTTGGTGTCTTGATTTTTGGTGGAACTTAATTCTTTTAACTTAACCCTGTCTCCTTTCATATTGAGAAAGAAAAAAGCAAGCACATTTGCATCACCTGGTTGCAAAGCAAACAAAATTTTAATGTCTGGTTTTAATAGAATTCCCTTGTGCGTGTTTGTGAATAATGAGACACCACTAGTACAAGCCAGACCATTTGTAACAGTAATGTTATGCTTATTTCAAAATGTTCTCTGTGCTGGTAGTAAGATGCCATGTGTAGTCTTGGGACTCAGCTGTAGGCGGGAAGAGCCAGACATTATAATAAGCTCTCTTACAGAGTGGGTAGTGACTGGATTGTGTGAGAAGACTGCAGAGCTGCTAGCTGCAGGAGTATTTTAAGAGCAGGTCAGACAGAGGTCTGTTAGGAATGGGTTAGGTATATGTGATCTGGCCTCAAGCTATGAGATGGTCTCTGGAGACCTTTAACAGCTGTTTTGTATTAGCTTAGCTAAATATTTGTAGGGGCAAAGGAGATTATGTGATAATGTGTTTTGGGAGCCTGAGTTGGGGAGAGCAGGCTTGTTAGTTGTAGTGGACAATATTTTAAAAAAATTTTTGGTTGCTTCTTGGAAAAGGATTTGCCTTATGGAATGAATAAGAGAAAACATTCTTCTGTGCCAAGGCAGCTCAGCCACATAGGAAAGAGTTCTTCCTAACTCACCTGATGGATCCCTTAGCCAGCATGCTCTGATCTTCACGTGATAATAACTCATGGTGTTAGCCCAGGTATGATGAGGTAGGAGGCTAGTGACACCACAGCTGAAATTAGCCAGGCCAGTTCCTCAGCAACTCATTTCTGCCTTTAATTTATTTGCAGGCTACAAGCAGGTTAGCTAAGATGTATGAGGGAGGAAGCAGGAGGTCCTGCTGTGGAAGTAGAGGGATGACTTTTCAGGCTGCAGCAAACATAGTGGTTGCAATCTGTGCAGGTAACACAACCACCCCGGTGGCTGGGGTGGAGCATAGGAGCAAAAGCATCTGGGAAAAAGTAAGGAAATAATGTTTATTGGTAGATGTCTGTCGTTCCCAGGATTGTTTTTTGGAAGCTGTGTTCAGCTCAAAGCAAGGGCTCAAACAACCTCCTCTATGTGTCCCCAGCATTTGTCTAGATATTACCTTTTACTGTCTTTATGGTTTGGAGAGCATTCTCCCATGAAGGGCTGCCTTCTTTCCCCATAGTGACTGCACTTGAAAGCTAATGTTTCACCCTAGTTTAGTTGCATCTGTGACAATGTTCTTATTATAACAGTCATGGAAGTTATTTCAAGTGTTTTACCGGTGTGGGTTTGTGTACAGATTCGATCTGAATGGTTGAGTGTTAGCAAAGAAATGCTCTGACTCTGCTATATGCACACTTCTCTATCCAACACTTCTCTAGCTGTCGTTTTGGAGTGCTGTTGTTGTTCATGTATTACTGTGCTGCAGAGTTGTCCAAGTTGCACAGATGAAGCAGCCAAGTTGACAGACAGCAAAACAATTTTTCCCTGTAAGAATTAATGTGATAGAGTGTGTATACAGAGCCTGAACTGACAAATACACAGACAGTGTACACAGCAGGGTGTGCCTGTATGTAACTGTAGTTTTAGAAACAAACCTACACAGGCAGAGGAACAATTAGGAGAGCCTTGGAGCACTCATCAATGGCAGATTATGGCAGAGAGAGATTAGCTCTCCTCTTCAAGGGCCTGCCATGCCTCCTAGGCTGCCAGCTTGCACAAAGCAGTAACATCACCATAATGTTTTTCTCGGGGATGACCTCTGTGCTTGTGTTACATGTCACTCACCAACCCGGTTAGGGAATTTGTAGCCCAGTGAACAGAGTGGGCTGGCTTTGTCGTTAACCAGGAGGTGTTCACTGCTGCTTTCTGGGCTCTCTAGTGGGTGCTGTGTTTGTCACATCAGGCTGCTGTTTCTTCTTTTAGTCTTTTAAAAATCAGTGGTGAGTGAGGGGGTGAGCGCAGCTGCGTAGTGGTTGCGTAGCTCATCCAAGGCAGAGCGGGTAGCTCTGCACACCCTGCACTTCTATGCAGACAGTTATTAATTCAAGCTACAGACTCAGTCTGCTCACATACCCACAGAGCTTCTCTCCGAGAGCCTGGTGGCCAGCCCTGCAAAGCACTGGGGGCTTTGCCACCTCAGCTGACAGTGCAGCCAGCACAGCACGGGGGCAGAAAGGCTGCTGGACAAATCACCTGTATCCTGCAGTGCCTGAACCTGCCAGTGCAGTGAAATCTCTCAGAGCCTGAAACAAAGGCAATACGGAGAAAGTACAGAGGTGGGCATAGCTATGCCGTGCACAAATACGTAAGCCCAGTTATCTCAGGTCAGACTAGGAGCTCATTTAGCCCTGTGTCCCAGCTCTGGCCGTGTCCAAGAGGAGAAGCCTAGGGAGGAAAGTGAGAAGTCAAGTAACAGTTGTGTGGCTAAGTGACCTCCTGAGATAGAGGTGGGACCTTTGTGTGGAAAGTGGTCATGTCACTGGCTCTGTGTGGTTGGATTCAGCTGCTGGCGTCTGGCTAAGCGTTCCTGCTAGTGTGCTGCGTGCTTCAGTTATGCTGCAAAGCTACAGCCAGCCCTCAACAGGTCACCAGTAGGAGGCTGACAGCCATGCTCCACACTCCTCCTTTTTACAAACCCCACGGTGCTGAAGGGTGCACACATCCCTGTTTATATGAGGTCCTCTTTGGGTGCTCTTATATTTACACTCAGCTGTAAACCTTATAGTGACATGGCAGCTGGGTTGCAGACCATGGATGACAAGATCAAGCTTAAAAGCGCACAGGCTAAAGAAAGTAAGGATTGAAGGCTAAAGAAAGTAAGGATTGAAGGGCAGCATTAAGGGAAACTTCATTGTTAACTATAGTGAGATGTTATAGCTACAAAACTCAAGAGACTGAAGGTGCTCCCATCCACAATAACAAGGCTGCCTTTGTGTGGCTTTAGAGAGCTGAAACTAAGGAAAGATTTTTGTAGAGCAGAGAAAGTGATTAAATGCTTGTAAGCAGCTCTTGTTTTTCAGAGAAACGTGCTGCCCAGCAGCTGAAGGGCTGGGCTAGATGTGTCCCCTCTGGGGACTAAATCTGTTCACCTCTGCAGACTTAGTCTTCCTCCTTATTTTCCAGTGAACAACTACATGGAGTCTAAGTGTGAAACCGTGCTTCAGGAAATGCGGAAGTGCTGCGCCCAGTACCCCAAAGGCAGATCCATCTGTTGCTCAGGGTTTGAGAAAGAAGAAAGAGAGAGAGAAGAATTTAAAGCGACTTCAGAAGGAATTCCCCCACAACCTCAGTAACACAATGCAGCTCCAGCAGGTGCCAGAACATGGACTTACCTTCAAAGCTTGTGTGTGTTTTTTCAAGCCTTCTTTAGACTTTCAGGAAAGCCAGATCGCTCCTAGAACACACCATCCGGCACACCAAAAAGTATAACCAGTACCAACAGATGGCCTGGTTAACAGACTTTATTTTCTGTACTAAAACATCATTTACATTGTCTTCGCATTGCATCTGTGTCTGTGAGAAGTCAACTTGATGTTTTCAGAATGCTTACCTTACTCTAATCCATCTTTGCTCTCAAAATGGAGAACTGGAACCAAGTAATTCTGGCTTCTGGTGCGAGAGGTACAGGAAGTGAGCTCAGAAGAGTGAGTGACTTTAAGCGTAACACATGAAACAAGCCCATCTTGACACAGCAAAAGCATTGCTGCCATCACGCAGTAGTTCCAGACATTTGCCTGTCCAGTGGTTCAAGCTCAAGAATGGGAATCAGGTCTGGGGATTGTTCCTAGGTCTTGCATAGATCATGAGTGACTACAAGTCACTTTGCCTAAGTGCCTCACTTTCCCACTGGACAGACTTTTGGTTACTTATATTTGAATTGCCTACATGCTGCTATTTGCATGACAAAGATGTTACAGGAACATTATTTCAGGGAATGCTACAGGAATAATTTTTTTTTTTAAAAGCAATATTCATTTGAAAGATCTGACTGTTGATATAAAATTTATAAATTTATGTATAATTGAACACCTTTAAGCAATATGTGACAAACCCAGCGTAGTTCAACCCACTGGTACCCAGAAGCCTGTCACAAAGCCCTGGGCTAGATCCAAGAACTGATTTAGGTGCTGCTTACTGAACAAGCAGTTGCAGGCACTCACTTTCAACACAGCATTCCAGACTCACTCACAAGCCGGCTGTGTCTGGACCCCAGGGAAAGATGGCTGGACCCCAGGGAAAGATGGCTTTTCAGAAGCTCTAACCCATGCAGCAGAATTTCCTGTGATCTGTAGGAAGAGCTCAGTAGACAGGTTCCTGCATCACCCTTCAGAGCTGCCTAAGTCTCTCCGTCCCCTGTAGCAGGAGTCCAGGCACCTCAGTGGGTGACAAGTCCATCATAGGGTCTAGGCACCTAAATATCAGACTTCGAACCCACTAGGCCCCTAACTCTGTCATTAGATCTAGCCATTGAGGACTTTTGTGCTATGATCAACTACAACTTACTTACGAAATACAGCTTCTATAAACAAACCACTGTAGTCTAGGCACAATAGTTGAGTGTATTGAAGCCTAGAAGAGCAAACCATCTGTATTCACTGCTCTGAAATATCATGATACAAAATAAATGACTGGAACAACTTGTAGTCTCGGTTTGGTTGTTTATTAAGAATACAACATAGCTACAAGCCCAGCAGCTTGGCTGACATTCAGTCCAGAGCTACATGTGATGTTGTCATGTTTAAATAGAGGCTGCTTGATATTTTTATAACTGGGGCTCAAGATCAGAATAATTCAGGGCTAGCCTTCCACTCATGCCTCCCTCCCCCCAAAAAAGAACCTTAAGACAAAGCAGAGGGTTTAGTATTGTTGAAAAGTAGGGGAAAGTGATAATAATGTCGTGAAGCAGCTCAAACACTTGACAAGTATCTCATTTTTTCCCTTTTGCCCTATCTGAGCAGTAGCAGTGGAAAGTAAGTCACTAATAAATGATAAAAAATAAATATTTAGGCTTCTGTTGCACCTATTAAAAAGAAGAGCATCTCATCATGCCCATTTCTACTTGGGTGGAGCAAACTTGCTCAACAGGGAGACTCTGAAGCCAGGCTGGCAGCAGAATCACCTCCTGCCCCAGAACCATCCCACCTTTTGAGAATATAGGTGATTGCTGCCAGGATTATCAAGCAGAGGGATTTACTAAGGCAGCCCACGGTTACCTGCAGAGGAGAGGGAAGGCTGGTGGCTCCATGCTACCAGACTGGCTGCAACTGCTCCAAATGCAACATGCAGGGTAAGACAAAAACCACACTGGTTCCCAAGAAGTCAACAGACCTTACGCTTAGAAGCTATGAGAGCAAAACTGATTTATTAGTTTAATAAAATATCACTTCAACAAGCATTTACATACAATATATAAAAACACTTTAAAAGCCTAGTGTGTCTGAAACCTTCTCATACTGAAACAGATGCCAGAAATTGTTGAAACAAGACAAAATGGAGCAGGGGCAGGGAAGGGGAGGGTAACACCTCATTCTTGGCACCTGCAACAATGAAAACGCATCCCCACAGAGGCTGATTCAGCATCAAAGCTTCCAAAGTGGGCTCACAGCATCAAACAGTGCCAGCCATGAGCCAATATTGGCATAGCAGAAAGATTTGCGAGATCCTGATGTCCTTATCCGTTCCCTATCTGCATTCATATCAAACTCAACATGTCAATTT